TATGCGCACACTACTTACCACTCACCATCCACACACACTACTCACCACACACACAAACTACTCATCACACACACTACTCACCAGCCGCCATCCACAAGGGAGAACATCTGACCCCGGGAATAAACCCGTTTCACAGATTTCTGAAAGAGGGAATGAGACCAAGAAAGAACTGCAAAGCGTAAACACAGATCCTTGCAGAAAGAAGAGGCAATGATAGCAACGAGAAAAAGGCAGCTCCAACCAACTCGCCTTCGCCTTCGCCTTAAATGGACTTGCTCCTCGCTACATTCATGACCTCCTTCAACCACGAATATTCAAACAAGATCGTCAAGATCCTCAGCTTGTGCATTGCTCACTGTCCCACCGTCTCCAGGCTACACACGTGGAGGTGCGTTGGCAATTACGGCACCTACACTCTGCAACTCGTTGCCCTTCGAGGTCAAGGGTACTTCCGAGACACGACTCATCTTCACATCTCCACTAAAGCCGTCTTTGTTTAAAACGGCTTTCTCCCTTTAGTGATGTTCAAATATCCTCACTTCTTTCATTGGGTAATGTTTACTATTTTCTGACTTACCATGCATAGCACCACGAGAGCGATTGTTTAAGGGCGCTTTGTAAATGTTAATTATATTACCATTACTGAATGATTATGTAATCAGTAGAAATGTATTTTTTAATTGTAAAAATACAATTATTGCATTAGCTTTCGATTTAAAGCTTTCGTGACTTCAGGGATTCATCTTCTTGGTTCTTTCGGTAAAGTCACGTAGAAGGGAAATAATAAAATAATAAAAATAAAACATTAAATAATTATCACGACGTTTTCGGCCACAACTCAAGCAGCCGTCCTCAGGTGAAGAACAGGTCTGTCTGAGGACGGCTGCTTGCGTTGTGGCCGAAACGTCGTGATAATTATTTTATTATGTTTTATTTTATGATTTCCCTTCTACGCGACTTTACCGAAAGAACCAATAAGATATTGCATTAGCGTCATAGTATTATAGCACGAGCATGTATTTATAATTTAATTATTATTTAGGTGTCAGTATTTCGCAGTTATTTAATTATAATTAAGTTAATAATACATACAAAATTGCGAAATCATTATTTTATTATTATCCATTTCCAATTACATAATAATTAAATTATTATAATAACATAATAAAACTATACTACTTAAATTATTATTATTACTTGACGGTCACGCCAGTTGGTTCAGGGCACGCGGTCGGCAACCTGCAGCTCCGTAGCAGCGTGCGGCTCTTTGAGGGACGGCTGCTTCGTGAGACGTTTTTATTTATCACGGACTACCACCACCACCATCTCTCGTACTCACACCACGTTCTTATTTATCAAGGAACACCACCAGCACGGTCTCTCGTACTCACACCACGTTCTTATTTATCAAGGACTAGCACCGTCTGTCGTACTCACACCACGTTTTTATTTATCAAGGACCACCACCAGCACTGTCTCTCGTAGTCACACCACGTTTTTATTTATCAACGACCACCACCACGGTCTCTTACTCGCACCACGTTTTTATTTATCAAGGACCACCACCACCGTCTCTCGTACTCACACCACGTTTTTATTTATCAAGGACCACCACCAGCACCGTCTCTCGTACTCACACCACGTTCTTATTTATCACGGACCACCACCACGGTCTCTCGTACTCACACCACGTTCTTATTTATCAAGGACCACCACCACCACCGTCTCTCGCACTCACACCACGTTTTTATTTATCACGCACCACCACCGTCTCTCGTACTCACACCACGTTTTTATTTATCAAGGACCACCACCAGCACCGTCTCTCGTACTCACACCACGTTTTTATTTATCAAGATCCACCACCACCATCTCTCGTACTCACACCACGTTCTTATTTATCAAGGACCACCACCACCTTCTCTCGTCCTCACACCACGTTGCATTGCGGCTCTTGAAATAATGAGTTGTTTGGTTTCTATTTTATTTACCGAATTGTAAAAAATAAGAAAAAATGTCTCTCCTTGTTGTTTTGGTTTCTGAACCCCCTGGTTTAGGGGAATCTTTTTTTGTTAAACCTTGAATACGAACTGACAGCTGTGTGGTTTGCTGGGCAAAACGCACAGCCTCACCCTAGCCGGAATGTGTTTTTTCTTATTATTACACGCTTTTATTGAACTCACTGTCTGTTGTTGTCGTATCCTCAAACCTTGTAACTCAATTTTAACCCACTTCCCAATGTGGTATCGACTGCAAACTTGGTATACTTACGTCATACTGCTGACAATACTATACTCTATAAAAAAATGAAACAAGTATTTTTAAACAATCTTTTTTATATGTTATGTTTCGGCTTGGGTCTAATTGTCCACGCTCAACTGACGTTGGCTGTAAATCACCACGGTCCCTTACGTTGTGGCAAGCTTCGGGGCCACTTCCTGGAGTCGTCGAGTTCTGCCATTCCGAGTATGGTACAATTTCGATTTAAAGCTTTCGTGACTGCAGGGATTCATCTTCTTGGTTCTTTCGGTAAAGTCACGTAGAAGGGAAGTAATAAAATAATAAAAATGAAACATAATAAAAAAAAATTAAAATGAAACATAATAAAATAATAAAAATAAAACATTATAACATTTCGATTTAAAGCTTTCGTGACTGCAGGGATTCATCTTCTTGCTTCTTTCGGTAAAGTCACGTAGAAGGGAAATAATAAAATAATAAAAATAAAACATAATAAAATACAGTTCTCACGACGTTTCGGCCACAACGCAAGCAGCCGAGGCGACAGCGTCAGACACTGTCGCCTCGGCTGCTTGCGTTGTGGCCGAAACGTCGTGAGAACTGTATTTTTATGTTTTATTTTTATTATTTTATTACTTCCCTTCTACGTGACTTTACCGAAAGAACCAAGAAGAGTATGGTACATTTCATTAAAGCGTGTTAAAAAAATATTTTTAAATATTACTTATTTTGTTTACGTGACAAACCTTACTCATTGGTTGTGTCGGGTGGTGGCGAGTTTTACGACACTTTTATATTTCAGCGATCTACCCCAAAAACACGTTTTATGGATAATATTTGTCGCGATAGCCTATTTATTATTTTAAATCTTTAATAAGAATTTACACGGTGAGGTTTACAGTGGAAAAACACAGCCTCACCCAAGCGGGTGTAACCAGTCTATAGGACAAACCATCACTGTTTTCATGGTTACCCTGGGATTTTTGTAAAACATTTCAATTGCGACTCTTTAACCTTGACACTGTGTGTGTGAATGTAACGCCACGTCTACACAGGTGAATACGGGCTGCCGCGTGCAACATTCCAGGGCGCGTCTCGTGGTGTTTATAATTTAGCTGCAGGTGAAGTCAGCTCGTTTCCTTGTTCGTTGTCGCTGCTCTGTGATTTTTTTTTTTACATCTCGCCGCGGTGGCTATGAGATGTTAACTACCTCGCCTGGTATACAGGAGGTCGTCGGTTCGATCCAGACCCTAACACCTGAACATGTACTTGGAGTTTGTTTGTCTCTCTCCCTGTAGTCGCGTGAATTTGTCTCTTGGTACTCCAATTTTTTCCTCTACACTTAGACACGTGCGTTTAGAGTGTTTGGCTGCTAGAAATGTCCACGCAATAAGCCACGTCGTTGAGCTATCAATTGTGGCCAGGTCGCTTCTGAAAAGAGCTATAAACCTCAGTGGGCCTTACCTGGTCAAATAAAAAAAGGTTTTATAGAAATCGTCCAAACTCAGCGATTCCAGGATGTAAAATCTTAACATTAACAATAGTTGATGAATATATATTGTTTAGGTTATGAAGATTTAAATCCTTGATTTTTTTACGCATAATAGGAAAATAGACGGTGAAAGTCATACAAATAATAAGCTTAAATGAACCACGATGTTTGTTTAGCCAGGGGCTGTTCACTGTGGTAATGCGTGAGGCCACCCACCCAGTGACCCAACCACTCAACCGCACGCCCCTCCCAGCCACCCTTCCTCCAGCCCTCCCTCACCGCCTGCTTGACCACCCTTCACGCCATCCTCCTGCCCATCTGTCTTCCCTCACACCAAATAACCCCCCCCCCCCCCCCCACTTACTCACTCATCCTCCACCACCCACTCACTCGCACCTTTGATTTGCACGAATGGCTACGTACGCTGCGAAATAAGTATAACATACATACTCACCCACTCACTCACCCACACACCCACTCACCCAACCACTCACCCCACACTAAATTAATCACCCACCTACACACTCACCCACACACCTTCGATTAGCATGGTTGATTAAGTATGGTGTAAAATAAGTTCAACATACATACAACCACCGTCCACTCAGGATAAAACGGTGTCGTAAGAATGATAAAAAAATTGACAGATCAACAGAGGATGCATGAAGCCAGTAGTTAAATATTAGTTGATAAACGTGGAAGACGATTACAGACTGTGAAACTTAAACAAACAGGCCTTGCAAGAAAAAAATTAATAAAGACACAGATGGGAAAAAAACAAGTTAACCTTTACATCAGAATGTTTGCACAAGGTGCGGTTCCATAGTGCAATGCACACAGCCTGACCCTTGCCAGTCAATCAGCCTGTGGGATACACCATTATTGCTGTGTCCTGGGTTGCTGCTGCTGGGTTTTGTTTGTACAAATATTATATCAATTGAGACCGGTCAAAGCTATGTATGTATGTTGAACTTCTTCCACACCGTACGTAGCCAACCGTGCTAATCGGAAGTGCAGAGGAAGGACAACAAACTAAACACAAAAGTCAGTTTTAGCTATTACACAGTGCGTGACTGTACTGCCACGTCTACACAGGTGAGCCCAGCCCCGGTGTAGAACATTCCAGGGCGTGTCTCGAGGTATTTATAACTTAACTGCAGGTGAAGTCAAGTTCATTTCCTTGTTCGTCTCCGCTGTGTGAGCTGCTGCTGTGATAGCTCCTCCGTGTGCCGCGGCAAGCGACTGAGTCCGAGTGAAGCCATGGGCCATGGCGAGCGCGTCTCCCAGTGATTGTGTCGACAGTGAGCGAGCTGCCCCATCTGCCTGCGCACGTTTGACTGCCCCTCTACGCTGAGCTGCAGACACTCGTTCTGCCTCCGGTGTCTGGATGGTGCCTGGGAGACGGCGAGCAGCTTCAACCTGGTGGAGCAGCTCAGAGTTGGAGAGAGCATGGCTGGAGTTGTCTTCTGTGATGGCTGTGATGATGGGGAGACTCCTGCAGTGAAGACCTGCCTGAGGTGTGAGATGTCCCTGTGTGAGTCCCACCTGAAGCCTCACCTGAAAAACCCCAAGTTGATGGACCACGTCCTGGTGGCTCCCATTGTCAGCCTGGAGGTGCGAAGATGCCAACAGCATGGAGACCCTTACAGGTTCTTCTGCAAGCAGGACGAGAGCCTGGCCTGTACAGTCTGCACCATCGTAGGAGACCACATCAGTCATAAGGTTATCACGCTGGAGAAAGAGCACGAAACACGGAAGGTGAGGCCTCCATACAAAGAGTGAGAACCACTCAGTTGCAAACCAATGATACAACTAGAGCTGATAGCCACTGGGCATAACGACGTGGGATGTAAATCATCAGTGTGGGCCAATTCCCTCTTCACTGTCCCTTGCCTTTCAGACTGTTCAGTCAGTCGAGGTTGGCTTCCTGGTCATCACTGTGGAGGGTTCAGTATGGAGTGGAGCTAAGAGGGGGCCGCTCAGGGAGTGGAGTCTCTTCTGGTCACTTCATCTCTTACAGAGTAGAGTCGGAGAGGAGACGCGAGTGGTGGAGAAGAGGAAGGAGGCGGAGGCGTCCGTCGGACGGATGGAGGTCGCTCGCAGAGACGTGCAGGTACCGCGTGTGGGTTCTGTGACCCTGTGACCTCCACCGTGTGGAGTCTGTGACTTTCCCTGTGAGGCCAACTCCGTAGATTCAAGTGAACTTTGTCATCCTTCAGTAAAAGCTTAATAACTCTACAGGATATTGAATCATTATGGTTACGAGTGCATGGGATGTATTGTTTAAAAAAAATCAACTTTTCTAAGAACAATGTTCATATCTCGTGCCCTTAGCCAAGGTGTTCCACGTTATTTTACTGAATGACTTAAAACATTCACTATTGGCGAAATGGTAGGACCAGTATAGGTATAATCTACACAAGATGACCTTGTGCTGCAGGGAGTTTATTACTTTGCATATATTTCTGTTCGTTTGATTTATATTGTGGCATGGTTGTCTTTGTGCTGATTTCTATTTTCTTCGTTGCTATGCTTTATAAATGTTTAATTTCGTATTTTTTTTACCTAGGTTACTCTTATAAATAAGACTCTCTCGCAATCTGGAGTTCTCACCCGATAAAAACAAAAATCAAATTAAACTTTATTTAACCAGGAGATCAAATATATTAATAGAAGCACATGATGAAATAGTATTTGTTTATAGTGTTCGAGTATAGGTTATAGATTATGTTATAGAATTAGTGTACACAGTGTAAATTTTACAGTGTTAGGGTTGACCAAATGCGTTGATCAAAGACGTTATTCCACCACGGGACACCAGCATACTGTTGTATCAGGTATGGCACTGGGGTGGATTGAGTCATACCTACATAAGTCGATCACGGACCGTGAAGCTGAGTGATGAACAGTCATCGCTTACGCTGTGCCTAGTTGGTGTACCACAAGGGTCCATCATCGGGCCCTTCCTATTTTCAACACATGTCTCTCATCGCATGACATCAAGTTCCATATATATGCTGATGAGACACAAATTAATACCGTAGTCTATTCAAAGTTAGATATGGAGAGCCTCGATGACGTTGAAAATTGCATGTCAGCGGTGCACATGTGGTTTGCACGAAATGAAATGCTGCTTAATCCAGAAAAATCATAGGTTCTGCAGGCGAAAACATTTGTGGGAGGATCAGGTGTGGTGGTCGCAGACTCCAGGATGCATTTTTCTACTCATCTAAAGAGCCTCAGCACCATACTCAATATGTCGATTGATCTCCACGTGCAAAATACAGACTTTGACACTGCCAAAAGCCTAAATAACAATTAAAGATCAGCTGACACGACTCAACGAATTAACCAAGAAAACCAAGATACCGCATACTGTACAATAACAGCCACATACTCTCATACACCCACCTACGTGTAGGCCGTGACCTATATTTGCACAGTGCAACCTAGCGTTGTGACATCATCATTAAAGCCATGGGCACCATTTTCACCACCATGAATAGATCTCAAACGGCGTGGATAAAATACTAGAATCTAATCGCAATGAATGAAGGGATAGCGCTCATTCGGACGCCTTCACAGCCGCCCCGAGACCTCACCGAGGCACAAATCAGATTGTGGCGTTGCAGCGGTTTTAAAATGAACAACTTAAAATGTTATCTTCATTTGGCAATTCACGTTGAACGAATCATTATATGTATATTTTTTAACACAACAAAAAATGTATAGAAAAGTATTTTTATTAGAAAAATTATTTCTCATCTCCAGCTGCTTGGTGGAGCTGTGCCCCAACGCCCCTTGTGTACGAACCATGCCTGGTTGCAGAATATTTTTTGAAGAAATATTTATGATGTGAAGGAAACAAGGTTTTTTTTCAAAAACGTTGGTGCTGCAATGGTAAGGGCTTCGTCATCTATTCCAATGTTTGTTCTTTGGATAGTTAAAAGGCAATTAAATGGACGCCTTAGCTTTCTTGGATTTGGAAATGGGGTGAATGAATTAGCTAAGTACAGCATAGATTTGCCAATCAGGATTGTGTGGATGAACAGGGCCCAATGTAGATTTCTTCTTGGATCCAGTGATGTGAGATTGGATTTTTAAGTAGATGTCACAATGGTGGGTCCTGTGTGGTATATCCAGTGCAAATGGAAGAGCAGAATGATAAATCGGGTTTAGTCGGTTTCGTGATTCATTAGGTTCTGATCTGTAAGCGGGATCACAGTAGTAAATGAGTATTTGAATGACAGCATCAACAATTTGCAGGCGTCATCAAATGGGAAAACAATGATTAATTTGAATTTTACTATTTGGCGGTATATAGCAACACATCAGAGTAAAATTTTGGTTACTTGGAGAATACATTATGAGCACGATATATTATAAAGAGCAAGGGTTGGTTACAGTAGCGAGTTGTAGGTCATTTTTCAAATATTCTACCACACCTAATCACAAATTATTATATCCAAACATTTTAATAGGCTAGGATTTATATGTGAGGTAAGCCATGTTTCAGACAAACAGATGTCTGGCTAAATATTGAATTACATTTTTAATTGTTAAACTGTACCTATGTCAAAAGTATAGGCCTTATAGTATTTTGAAAAAAAGTGCTGTGCTAATTGGCGTTTGCTGACATGTAGAGGCATGTCTATGCATCAAATTCTAAATGTTGAGGACCAGTTTTAGGGCATTAAGTTGAAGTCCATCGAAGCCCTGTTGTAGATGCTGTTGGGGCTGTGTCATTAGCCAAAACTTAAATGTCAAAGTGCAGATTGGAGATGCCTATGTGGTTGACATCGAGAGAAAACAGAACAGGGCCAAGCACAGAGCTCTGAGGAACTCCTTTAGTAATCGGGGTCCTGTTAGACCCCCTTTATGGACACAATTTGAAATCGGTGAGATAAGTCGTTGCGAATCCAGTTGATTGCACAATCCGAGAAATGTAGCAATTTTAGCCTTTGCAAAATTACAGCGTGATCCACAGTGCAACGCATGCCAAAAAAGCTTTTGTTTGACCAGATAGAGGGGGATAAACGGGCATGACACGGGCTAGAAAAGAGATGGAGCTGATGTGGTACATGAGGATGTGGAGCTGAGTGGACTTGACGATGACCGGTACCAGCAATGTCAAGATTGGCCTCTCTGGAGGAGGATGCTCATGAAGGACGCTTCTGGGCAGTTGGAGGCAGTCGCCATTCAGCAAGAGCGGAGGGTAGAGGAGTGAAGCTCACAAAAACGAGCGGAGCGCCGGGCAGCTAAAAAACATAACATCTCACTGGTATTGGCCAAACTTCACGATGCTGAAAAGTTACTCAATTAATACCACAAAGTAACAGCGTTGCCCTCTACTCTCAGAACTTGGCAGGACCTTGCAAAAATAGTCTTGCAACCAATTTGGCTATGTACGGTGCAAAAGAACTTCAACATACATACAAGAGAGATCTTTATGGGCAAACAAGCAGAATAATAAAAATAATAATCATGGCTCATGGAAAATGATATCTTAAATTTATAGAGTGCGTTCTCTCATGGCGCTTTATATATAAACAAAAACGGTAACAATAGAGTAAGTTAGATGGCAGGGCCAATAAATCCGTGACAGTAACAGAGGGCACATAGGGGTCAGAAAAGTGCAGGGGAGGAGTGGGAAGGAGGGGAGGGGCGAGGGGAGAGAAAGGGAATGGGTGAACTTTGAGAGACGAACGAAAGGAAGTTAAGGAGGGGGACTGCTTCATCTGGAGGGGAAATGTCGTGAGAATTGTATTGTTACATTTTTATTAATTTATTATTTCCCTTCTACGTGACTTTACCAAAAGAACCAAGAATATGAATCCCTACAGTCACGAAAGCTTTAAATCGAAATTTAGAGGGGAATGGTCAATCATTAGAATTTGCGTGTCTCGACAGGGATCTATGACTGGGGTGAAGGAGCGAATCAAAGCCGAGTTCACCCGCCTGAGAACGGCACTGGATGAGGACGAGAGGACGGCTTTACATCGCGCGGAACTGAAGAAGGAGCTGCTGTCCCAAATCGACAAGAACATCGCTTATTACAAGCACGAGATCAGCGAGCTGCAAGCAGCAGCCGCGCGCCTGCACACTCTGCAGGAGGAGAGGGACTCGCTCACGTTCCTGAAGGTAGACCACTCGCAAAGCCAGGGCGAGTGCCCCAGTTTGACAGAGCCCTCAGCAGTAGAGAGGCTTCTGGCCCTAGGGTTTAGATGCTCGGAACTTGAGAACACAGCTTCAATAACAATAATAATTTCACTTAACCACGATAGTGGCTGCATTTGAAATCTCAGTATCTTCTCATTTAATTATGTTTCTTATCGTATTTCCTGCATAGAATTCCAAATATTACCGTGAAGATAACATTAATGTAAAGTTCAATTTTAAATACCTGATGTTATGCTATTTAATCGACTATTTTATAAACAGTTGCTCTGTGGCTATCAGGTATTTGATATCCACTCTCAAGCACCTTGAATATACAGATGTGCTCGGACCGACACGACAGCTTCTTGGCTTTCCTCGTTACTTTATTCACGTATATAGTTCCACATCTCTCCCGTCAAAACCGCTCAATGTTCCTCCGCTCACTCGCTGCTCTCCGCTGGCCTCGCTCGCTCCCCTCTGCTCCTCCGTCGACTCTCCTCTCCGCTCTTTCTCCCTCTCCAGCTCGGCTGCTCTTTATCAGCTCCGCCGTCCCACTCCGTCGTAACTAACTCCGTTCTCCTTCCACACCCAGCCGCTTCCTACTCTCCGTCGTCTCTCTCTGATGCTTACGCTACTCCGCTGCTACCCTACAATATACTCACTCTTCTCCACTGCTACCCTATGCTGTACTCACTCTATCCACTGCTACCCTACGCTGTACTCTCTATCCACTGCTACCCTACGCTGTACTCACTCTATCCGCTGCTCCGTCTCTCCATCCGTCTGTCTCTCCTCCCAGGCACGAACTGCCGTCTCACTCCACAATCCCTCACTTTATCCCCGAACCAATTACCCTTAATTAATTAGGTCATCCCCCACGACGCCACTCGCCCCCAGCCCCCGGTGCCACGTGGTGTTGTTTTTCCAGACACGCCGGCGCCAATCTCTGACAACAGCCCCTCTCGTCCAATCAACGCCCTGCATCCTTAATTACCCCCGGCCACCTGCGGCCCCCTTAACCATCACGCCACCTTAATTTGGACAACAACGGCCAGCCAATCAGCGCCCTATGTCCTCATTCGCCCTCACTGTCTGCCGCGTGCGTGCATACCGACCCAGCGCGTGACGCGTATCTCAAGCACTACACAGACATGAATAGCCTCTGCAGAAATAGACATTGCTTATCATTTTGAGAGGCTGTCTCAAGCCATGGGAAATGAGCACTGCCCAAGGCTGAAGGAGACTCAAACCCTGGCTAAAGGGTTGATATGATCAGGTATTGAGAAGATCGCTTCACTTATTAACCAAGGATACAGATTTGGCCTTCACAGAGTAATTAGCCAAGACGCGGGATTCATATTCTGGTTATGGGACTCGCAGAGAGAACTCGAGCGATGCCTTGGGAGCAAATGGAGGCAGCATCACAGTGTCATATCTCTCTGTATCCCACAGGGGCACCTGGAGGAGACACGCAGGTACAGTCCCTCAACCATCACAGACCAGCAACCACGAGGCGGTGTAGTGGGGAGCCTTGAGCTGTGTATTTACTTGTACAGTGATTTTAATCACCGTTGTGATTGTAGTTTACTTGGATAGTGATTTGAATCCCTGTTGCATAAATTCAAGTTAACGTCAGGTGGTTCTGATTAATTACTTTAAACGATACTATCCTAGCTCATTTCTTTAGAACTGCTTTGTGTTTAGTTTGTTGTCATTCCCCTCACCTTCGATTAGCATGCTTGGCTAAGTTCGATGCGAAAGAAGCTAAATATTCATAATCAACGTTTTTGGGTTTAGATCGCGTTTATTTATAAATGTGTCGTAACCCTCCACCACCCGACACGGCCAATCAGTAAAAAAGTGTCACGTTGACAAAGACAAATAGTTCACTGCTTTAGCCCACCGGTGTGTTGAAGCCACAACATTTACAATTTGAGTACGACGTTTCGCTGGTAATTGCGGTTTTTTAAAATTTATTCAGAATCTCAGCGGTGACAACAGACCGAAAAAATAACCTAAACCCGAGGGGGCACCCCCTCACTCGCCCTTAAGGTCTCGCTCAGTCACCGACCCATCCTCTGGGCCGGGATCACCCGTGCCACAGCATCGGAGAGGAAGCCTCCCCTTCCCGCCACGCACACCTTCACCCCCGGATGCCGGCGAGGACCTCCCCCCCCCCGCCCTAGCCCACCCTGGGCAGCGGCCACTTCCATCGTTCCCTTGCGGCCTCGCGCCCCATTTTCTCTTGGTTCATCTCTACTACCCTTTTCAACAGACTCCTCGCAACATAACATGTCTCCAACGGGGACATCAGGGACCCCTCCAGTCCCTTCTTACGCGCTTTCCACAGCGCCTCTTTCGTCGCTCCTATTACAGCCCACACCCGGTCCCTGTCCTCCCTCCCCACCCCCCGCAGCTCTCCCCACATGACGTCCCGCGTCGTCACCCTTGATAGGGCGAAACGGGCCAGCAACGGCTTACTCCTCCTCCAGACTTCCTGGGCGAAAGGGCACGCCACCATCACATGCGCCGCAGTTTCATCCGCGTTGCAGCCCCTCGGGCACTTGGGGGTATGCGCCATTTGGCGGCTGTACAGGAAACCCCGCGTCTCCAACCTGTCTCGGACAGCCAGCCATGACAGGTCCCGCTGCTCCTTCGTGAGCACTGCTGACATCACATTCCTCCAAATCTTCCCGTGCGTCTCCCTCCTCGCACCGGCCACCTCGTCACAGGCCTCCTCCTTCTCCGCCGCGGCCCGCACCTCCCTGGGGGCCCACCGACCCCCCCACCGGCTCAGTCCATGCTGCCTGACGTAGCTCCCCACCACGTCGCTAACCCCATTCCCCGGCCAGTCCATAGGGGTGTTCCTTCCTGCCTCAGTCATCCCGAGCCCCCGCAACCGCCACGTCAGTCGGTACCTCATATACCACGCTGCCTTGCCCCGCGGCTCCGCAGAGAAGAACAGCCGCAGCGCATTGCAGACAAAGGTCGATTGCAGGGTATACCCCACATTTGGGGCACCCCTCCCCCCCTTCTGGACCTGCAGACACATCACGGCCCTCCTCACCCTCTCCATCCCCCCCCCCCAAATAAACCTGAAGATCGCCGTGGTCAAGGCCTTAACCTCCCTCCCATCTGGCGGGAACACCTGCGCCAAGTAGTTTAGGGGTGGTAATATTTCTGTTTTAACCACCATAATTCTACCTGCCATTGTGAGCCGCCTCCCAGCCCACTTACCCAGGCAGCCCATTGCCTTCCTCACCCCCTTCTCCCAGTTACCTTCCCCCATCCTATCCCCACCGAAAACCACCCCCAGTAACTTTATCCCCTCTGTTTGTAGACTCAGCTCCGGCGGCCGACCCTCGAAAAGCCTCGGGTCTCCAAAAACCATAAGCTGACTTTTCCCCACACTGACCTTCAATCCGGAGGCCGCGCAGAACCTCCCCATCCCCTCCATTGCCCTCCATACCGATGCCACGTCCCTGCATAGCACGGCCACGTCGTCCATGTACAGGGTCACCTTTCCCTGCTCCTTGCACCCCGGTATTACCACCCCCCCAATCCTCTGATCATTCCTTATCATCTGCGCCAGCGGCTCCATGCACATGACAAATAGCACTGGGGACATCGGGCATCCCTGCCGCACCCCCGATCCCACTGGGATGATCCCGGAGCATTCCCCATTTATCAGGAGCCTAGCCCTGAGCCCCCCATAAAGTCGCTTCACCCACTCCACCAGGGGCCCGCACACCCCCATCCTCTCCATCACCGCCAGCATGAATTCATGAGAGAGGCGGTCGAAGGCCTTGTCCAGGTCCAGGCTTAGGATCCCCAACGGGCACCCCCTCTCTCTCTCGCCTTCAATCGCCTCCCTCAAGACCACCAAAGTGTCCGCGATCCTCCTCCCCGGGACCGCACACGTCTGGTCCGGCCCCACCACCTCTCCCACCACCTTCCCCAGTCGCCCCGCCACCACCCTTGCCACGATCTTATAGTCCGCGTTCAGGAGGGTTATTGGCCTCCAACTTCCCAGGTCCCTACGCTCCCCCTTCCCTTTATAAATCAGTGTCACCAGGCCCTCCTGCATGTCGTCCGGTACCTGCCCTTCCTCCAACGTTTCCCTACAAATTTGCACAACATCCTCCTTCAGGAGTTCCCAGAATTTTATGTAAAAGTCCGCCGGGATCCCGTCCGGGCCTGGGGTCCTGTTCTTGTTCAGCCCCTTCACCGCCCCTTCCACTTCCTCCCATTGTATCCTCTCCCCTAGCACCTCCGGGTTCTCAACCCTCTTCCCCAATGCTCCCAGCAGCTCCTCCCGCCGCCCCCCATCTATCCCTTTACTTTTATACAATTCCCCATAAAAGTCCTCCGCTACACTAATCATCCCTTCCGTCGTCACCTGTCTACCCCTAGTAGGACTAACCAGCTCCCTCATTTCATTGTCTCCCTCCCTACCCGCCTTAAGGAAAAATCGTGTACACTGCTCCCTATCCTCTGTTGCCCTGACCCTCGCCCTATACACTAATTGCCTAGCCCTCTTTTCCAGGACTGAGGCTACCCTCCCCTTCATCTCCGCTATCCTTTCTGCCACCGGGAACCCTAGCTCCAGCAGCCCATACAACCTTTCTAACCTAGCGTTCCATTGTCTCAACTCCCTACCCACCCCCTTTCTTCTACTGTAACACTGAAAGAACTTCCTGATCCTACACTTTGCATGCCCCCACCACTCCACCCTCGTGGGGAAGCACACCTGCAGCGTCCTCCAGTTGGCATACGCTCGCTTGAAATCCTCCACCAACTCCTGCTCCGCCAGCAAGCCTACATTCATCTTCCACACTTCCTTCCCCCTCTCCACCACCCCTGGGATCACAAGCCCCGCCACCACCATTCTATGATCCGAGAGGGGGAAAGGTTCCACCCCCGCGCTGCCCACGTTTACCTTGTCGGAAACGAAGATAAAGTCAATGCGAGACTGTGTTCCCCCACTCTTGTCCGCCCACGTGAAACCTGGCCGCGTGCCGTGCACCCTCCTGAACGTATCCACCATCCCAAAGGTCCCCATCAGCTCCCTCAGTTCCCTGGAAGAGGAATCCAACTTCCTCCTCCCCTTCACCGACACCAGGTCCGCCAGGCCTAACGGGCAATTAAAATCGCCCCCCACGATGACCTGCCTCCTAGTGGCCAGTAGGCCCGCCAGGCTCTCCCACACCTCCTTCCTTTCCATGCACCGTACCGGGGCGTACACGTTTATCAGCCGAAGCTGCACGCCCTGGTAAGTAGCGTCTAGACAGAGAAGCCGACCCGGTATTATTTCCTGGGTCCCTTCTACACTCATTCCCCGTCTTCCTAGGAGGGTGACCACACCTGTGCACCTGCTCTCGTTGCTGCCGGACCAAAAGTACTGTCCCTTCCATCCGTCCAGCAGAGCCTCCGACCCTAGGGTGTAGGGGAGGTGACATTCCTGGAGGAAGATTACATCGCGTCTGGTGAGCTGCAGCCACTGCATGATTGCCCCCCTCCTTCCCTTCCCCTTCATCCCTCTCACATTGACCGATGCTGCGGATATGTCCATGCCGGGGCGTGATTTATCCCGTGTCGGACTCCGGCGCGTGCTCCCTCCTCCTGCCTTTGCCCACCTTCCCCTTAACCGTTTTCCTCCCCTTTGATTTACGGGGCTTTCCCTGGATCAAATGTTCCCCCCCCTCCCCCCACCTCCACCCCGACTCCCCCGAGTCCGGCGCGGATCCTGAAGGGCTCGTGTCTTCCTGGGGGCCAGCTCCTATCAGGACTCTGTCCCGCTTCCTTTTCCTCCCCCCCACTTCCTCCCATGTTTCCTCCGCCTCTTCCTCCATCCGCTGCCCCACCTCGCCCTCCTCACCCGTCACCTCCGACCAGTTCCCCAGCGGCGTTCCCGAGTCCTCCGTGCCGTCTCCCCTTCCCTCCTCCGCCTCCTCCAGTGGTGGTGGTGCTCCCTCCCCCGCCGATCCCCCTCCCTCACCCTCCTCGGGGGGCCGCGGTTCCTCCACCTCCCCTTTCCCTTCACGCTCCCGGCCCGCTTCCCGCCCGGCAGCCTCCGTCGCCTCCTCCACCTGGCCACTCCGCCATGCCCGCGCCCTGTTAGCGTAGGATTCAGGGCAGGTCCTGTACAAATGCCCTCTGCTGCCGCACAGGTTGCAAAGGGCAGGCTCCCCGCACTCCTCGACCGTGTGGTCCAGCGCCCTGCACCTGTAGCAAACGCGCGCCACACACGCTGCCGCCAGGTGCCCCCCCCCCCCACACCTCCTGCACAGCTTGGGCTGTCCCGCGTACACCACATAGCCCCTGTTTCCGCCGATGTTCAGAGCACTCGGGACATGCTTCAGTGACCCCCCTTCCGTCTTCAGACGCACCCTCCACTGCCTGGCCCCCGTCCATATCCCCGCCGCATCCAGCACCCTCTTGCAGCCCGACAGGACCACACAGTGCTGCCGCAGCC